AGTATAGTAGTATAAAATAGCGGTTACTCTGCTTTCATAGAATGAGAAACCAGTTCTTTGTCCTTAGCTGTCAATAATTTTGCAAGAACTTACCCCAAGTTAGAGCAGTATAGAGTTGCTACCATAAATTGGCCTAATTTCCTCAAGATTGTCCTCTACAGGAGGATAGTGTATGTTAATCCTTCTCTGAGTACCCTCCTCTTGTAGCACTAGAATGTCAATCAGTCTGAAAGGGTCTCAAGAGGTAAACTCCCTTCTGAGTGCAGAAATATGATTTGACAGGTGGCTGAAATGCTGAGCCAAAGAGAGGGTATGGGGGCAGGGAGAAAAAAAAGTGGAATGGCAAGGGAGATAAAATTAGTGAAGATTTATGTCCAGCTAACTATAAACTCTTCCATGGAAACAGTGCAAATTTAATTATAATCTAAGTGCAAAACTGGATGTGTACTGTGTTTGTATTTGTTACTTTAGTCAACATATGGGCTATATTCCAGCATATAATAACAATTAAAGAACAAAACACGAAGAAGCTGAGCCTACTAATTTTACCAGAAATCCCATTTCTAGGGATAAAACTCTTTCAACTGTACTATTTTAATCAGGGCAGAGCTGCTGAGCTTCCCATACTGGAGTGTATAAGTGACTATTTAAGACCAACAGAAGTGCAGTGTAAGATTCCATTAGCGCATTTGAAAAATACTGCAAGAGAGAGATTACTAAACCACCTCTGACGTTTCAGAGAAGGGGCAAGATGTGCCACAGAGGATACTGCACAGAATGGAAAAATGTGATGACTCATAAATCAAGATGAAACCTCTCCCACTTAAAAATAAAATAAACTCTGAACCCCTATCTTTCTTTGGAATTTTATTGTGGCTGTTTTTTGATGTTTTAGGTAAATTTCCTATTCCCATATAGGTACATATTTAATAATTTAAAGAATTATATGAACTGAATTATACTAAGCTCTCATACTGAAACTTTTGAAAAATGTCTGAAGTGGACACTAGTCTATGAAAGCATAGACTATAATACATATATTTGTTTTTAAGGGGCAACAAGCCAATTTCCTGTATTTGCTGTGAAAAATTAACACAGTTTGCCCCACCAGGAGTAGTTACAGTAGTTACCTTACACCAAGTAGTTGTCTTATACCAGGAGGTAAGGGCTCTAAGAAATAAAATTGAGAACTCTAGGGTTGTCCAACCCTACTCTAAACTAGTGAGGGTTGTGTTTAAGGGCAGACAACTGTGATCCTGCATTTTTAAAAGACTGTAGAGTGAACATGAGCAACTGGGTTCTTCTTTATGGTGCCACGAATTAATCAACACATGACCATGTGAGTAACCATGTAAAAATAGCCTCAGTGGGAAAGAAGGATTGACTCCTTTTTCACTTTTCACAATGAAGCAATTAGAAATTACTGGTACCTGGACACAGCAATGTAACTATGATGTATTGTCATGCTTAGAATGTTAGACTGGGACTTTAAAGATCTGGATTCAAGTCCCTGCTCAGCCATGAAACTATTTGCATAATGTTGGACCAGTCACTGACTTTCATCCTAACCTAATGCACAGGGTTGTTGTGAGAATAGAGAAGAGGATGACATTATCTGTGGCTAGGGGTTCTTTGAAAGATGATCTCCTAATTCCAGATCATTGATGAATAGGTTGAAAAACACTGGCCCTAATACAGAATGCTGTGAGACTCCACTGCTTACATATCTCCATTGGGAGAAGTTTCCATTTATTCCCATCCCGTCTTCTGTTCTTTAAGCAGTTAGTGATCTAATCCCCCTTTATCTCATGACTGCTTAGTTTGCTCAGGAAACTTTGGTGAGGGGACTTTGTCAAAAGCCTTTTGAAAGACCAAGTAAAAACGTCTATTGGATTGTACCTGTCTGTGTGCTTTTTGACACTCTCAAGTAATCCTAATAGGTTAGTGAGACAAGACTTCCCATTAAGGAAGCCATGCTGATCTTTTTTCATCAGGGCTTGCCTCTTTATGTGCTTACAGATTCTGTGTCTAATAATACTTTCAAGCAGTTCATTCAGAACAGATGTTAAGCTAACTGGCCTATAATTTCCCAGAAGCCCCTTGAATCCCCTTTTAAAAATCGGTGCTACATTGGCCATTCTCCAATCCTCTGGTACAAGGATTAGGGACACATAAAATATTTTGGTAAGAAGGTCAGCAATTTCTTGACTGGATGACTAGCTGACTTTCAGTTTGTCAATAAGGTTGAGAATTTCATCTTTTGTCACCACTATATGCCTTAATTCTTCAGATAGTATATCCCTTCCCAAATACATAAGCTCAGGAACAGGTAACTGGTCTTCATCCTCTGGATGTGAAGACTGATGAAAATAATTCATGCAGTTTCTCTGTAAGCAATTCATCCCCAGTGCTCCTTTAATTCCATTAGCATCCAATGGTCCAACTGCTTTCTTTCGATGCATTTAAAGAATTGTTAGCCTTGAAATTGTTTGTGATATTCTCCTCAAACTGTTCCCTTGCTTCTTGGATGATCTGTCTGCATCTCCCGTGTTCAAGCTTGAGGTCCCATGCGTTTTTTTTTAATCTGGGAAAGACTTCCAATTTTTGAAGTAACCACTTCTCCCTAATACCTTCCTTGACTCTATGCATCAACCATGCTGGTGATTTCCTGGCCTTTGTGCTAACTTTTCCCACTTGCAGTTTGTTTATTATCTGTGCCTCTATTATAGTGTTTTTCAGAAATCCCAAGCCCTTTGAAGTTATTTTAACTTCTTGATCTTCCTGTTCAGCTTCTTTACCAGTTCCCTCATTTTTGAGAAGTTTCCTCTTTTGAAGTGAAACACAACTGTGTTTGACCTCTTTGGCAGTCTTATACCTAACTGCATTTAAATCTGATACCAGCATGGTTACTGTTACTAATGGCTCAACAACATTTACATCAGCCTTCTCCAACCTTGTGCCTTCCAGACAAGTTTGAACTGCAACACCAAGAATTCTGAGAGTTGTGATCCAAATGCCTCTGAAGGCCATCAGGTTAAAGGCCAATTTATATCTTATACTATGTCCTGGGCAACCCTTCCTAGGGCTAAATCCAGGATTGCCTTCCTTCTGGTTGGTTCCATGACAAACAGCTCCAGGGCACAGCCATTTATAACACTGAGAAATTTAACATCCTTCTTAAATCTGAAACATGCATTAATCCAACCAACATGCGAGTACTTGAACTCCCCTATTATTACACTACTAGCTTTGTTGGAGACCTCCCTGAGTTCATTTCCCTTCTCCAGATCACCCTGAGCATTCTGGTCTCTGGAATGATAGCATACTCCTATGACTAAGGAGTTTTAGAGCCAGGAATTTTCACCCATATTTCTTCTGTGGTGGTATCTTCACATTTTAGTTTATCAAGTCTGCTAGACTCTATGTCTTTCTTAACTTAGGAGGCAACACCTTCTTCCGTATGCCCTCTCCTGTCTTTCCTGTACAGTTTATTTCCAGAGTTTATCTCCACTCCAGCTCTTCCATTTTGGACCTAAGGCTTCTAGTATTTGCGTAGAAACACCTAAGCACAGTGTGCTCCTCCAGTCATGTGCCACTATTGCTCTGGCACTTTATCCTCTCCAGCTGTTTACCATGGCATACCATAATCTCATTGCCTATATCCTCCCCTCCTACACTTTGGCAATCTGAAACTTACTCCCCTTTATCCACTAGACAAGATTGGGCCCAAACCAGATGCTTCCCAGCTTCTGTTGGCTTTCCCTTTGAGGTCCTCATGTGGTGGAAAGAACGAAGCAATCCTGAGTAGATTTGCTTTTACAACACAGTTGCCAACACAGCTTTTTCTGTTTCAGGAAACTGGGATTGATGTTCCAGGAATTAGGATTCACAATAGCCCATACCTATTACCTTCCATTCTCCCTGTACATGGCTGTGAACCTAGTTAAAGTGCATTCTCCCAATATGTTTCCTGTGCCCCCCTATTCACCAAACAGAGTTCCTGTTTTCTCATACCAGTCCCATTTTGGGAAAAAATCATTTGGATATTGTTTTAAATGTTAGTGTGCACATGGTTCATTCTTTGTCCTTCATGTTTTTTTGGAAAATAGAGAGCCCCTTTGTAGTATAACCTTTCTTTCAGAAGCTCATGGTGATATCCTCCCTATTCTGTCCTCAGAACAGCCCTGCAATATAGACAGACTGGCTGGCTCAAGGTGACCCAGTAAGCTTCTCCTGGTCTAGTCCAATATTGGAATCCAGCCAGTCTCCATTTTGCCAGTTCCTGCACCTGCCATTCTGTTGCCAGCACTTTATCCTCCCTGGAGCTGTCAGCCTGGGGAGGACCTTTCTGTAGCTCCGAATGCGTGTCAACCCCGATCAATACTAATTACAACATAATCCGGGCCTGTGCGGTTTTGCCTTTCATCAACTTCGATGGACACCACTAAGCCCACAGCAAGAAGAAACTGCTACTTGGGATGCTCTGGCTGCACCACCCTTTGTGAAGGGCACGGTGCGCAACAGCTCTCACGTGAACAGGAGCTGTCTAAATGTCATGTGCCAAAATGCAAAGTGAAGGCTAAAGGTGCCGCCGCAGCTTAATCAGCCGGATAAGCGTGGCTCTTGTGCAACCCCAACGACTCCGGCCTAGCAATGCCGCTCGGCGGAGGAAGAGGCGGCGTCGCGAGAGAGGCTGCTCCATTCACTCGCGGAGCCAAGCGATGGGGCGCTCCTCCCCTCTCGGTCAGCCTGGCAGCACGTGCTCCGCGCCCGCGCCTGTGTTTGGTACGCTGCTGTTTCAGGTGACCTCGGCTGGCGTGATGGCCAACTGGGGAAAGATCGACGGACTTCGCCCTGCCTGGCCAGACGTGGGTTCAGCGAGGACGGACTCCGGGGGCGAAGGGGCGTTTGCTTGCGCGCACGCGCGACCCCCCACCTGCCTGCCAGCCGGCTTAAGTTTCAGCTCCTCGCAGAAGGGCTCCGTTATATAAAGCCCGTCCTGGGAACTAGGCGTGGGAAGTGAGAACTTTCTGGCTGCTGGCGAGCGAGCGAGGAGTTCAGCTGGTGGTTGCGCTCCATACAGCCGAGGTTTGTTTTCCTCCACTGCGAAGCGTGAAGCGCTCCAGCCCTTGTTTCAGGAAGAAAACGCAAACCACACGTAAAAGGACTCTGGTTTGTGGAAAGGGTTCTGTGCAGCTCATCCACTGGCTCATCCAGGTAAAGTGGACGACTCTTCTTCAGTTTGTCCTCCGCGTGCTCTCTTGTGATGCGCTGTGGAAGGCTGCTCAAACTTTTGCCTTTCCAGAGTTTGTTTTCTGCTAAGGGGGGCTATCGTGATTGACTGGCTTAAAGTGTTTTGTCTACTGCCTTTGATTTTAAAATAGTATTATGTGTGCTTGTTCATTTGAGAAGTGTCTTGCCTGTTTTTCATTTTAAATAACCCCAGGGTAGGTAACACACAATAAAACACAGTGAAATAATGTGGCATGGGCAACAATCAGCGCAGAACAGTATCCTCAAGCTGGTTTTCAAAGATTTAGCCCTTGGCAGAAATGCCAGTGAGGTGTTATGCTTGTCCCTCTGCATTATGTCTTAAAACTGAAAGTTTTTTTTGGGGGGGGGGAGCGCTTTGAGTTTTTGTGCTGTTAAAGCTTTTGCAGCAAAAATTATTATGCTGTTATGAATTGACAGTGGAGTTCTTCAGCAAACTTTGCTTTGATTGGAAGACAATCAAGTGGAAAGACGTAACTGCAAAGAATTGTCTTTGACTTGAGAAATAATTTTGTAAAGACAGAGCAGCATACCTGCCAAAGTTAGATCTTAATGCAAATTGCCATACAGAAAGCCTTGGTTCCAGTTTGAGATATTTTTTGGTAGCAGGTGAGAAGGAACACCTTTGCCTGAGACCCTGAGGAGCAGCACTGGTCTAAATGGATGGGCAAGTGATCTGAGTTACTGTCAGGCATCTTCTGTTCCTAAGAATTTCCTGACCATCTTTAAAAAATGCCCACCCCAGCTTGCAAGACCATCAGGACTTTGGGTATTTATGGGATGGAACCATAGTGATCCATATACATGTCTTTTGTTTCTTATAGGATCTACAGACTTTAAGGTCTAAAATGACACAATGGAAGCCTGGAATACAATTCTAGGTTATGTGGAGATCTGTATACTGGTGTACACTGGCTCAGAAAACTAACACAGAATTTTCCTGTTTCCTCTTGATCTGCAGGTGCCCCTACATAATCCTTGTCTTTTGTTACTGGCGTTGCAATGGCGGCTGTGCCTTCAGCGGGCTCTCTTCTAGCCAAAAATCAGTACTACCGAAGTAAGTTTCTTGCCTCAAAATTGCATGTGCTTTTCTTATGCTCTGGTGATGACTGACAGGACCACAAAATGTATGTGTTTCTGTAGAAAAGAGAACAGAATGCATAGCATATATCCTGTGAAAGGTTTGAGCATTTATGGCCATGGGTCACCTTAGATCTAAAACCACTGCAAGGAAAAAGTGTCCTCTTCATGTCTTCAGTTTCAATCACACATGTTGTCAGTTCAAAACACTGATGTACAATCTGGCAGCTTTGCAGATAAAATATTTATTTCTGCTGTTTAGTAGGAAATTGTCTACAAAGCTCATGAGAAATACTGCCCTGAATGTGACATCCTCACACACAGTTCTTCCAAGCAGCTGCCTGGGTCATGCGCCCCTAAATCCAGCTCCATTTGCCTGGATTCCTGAGAGAGTAATGTTAATCTTGAAACCATTATCCTCATCTGTTCCTTGACTATATTTGAATTGTATTACATTCCATCTTAATTTTGCATCTTTCCTTCCCTGAAATAGGAATTATCATCTGATAATACAAAAAACAGAAGGACTAGGCCCTGGAAACATGTTAGCTAACCATGCCTTATACTTTTAGGAGTGCCTCAATTATTTTGTTGTGACATGTACAGTACTGAACTAGTTGCCTTAAGGAAAGTTTGAGCCACAAGCACTGCTGTATTCCATGTTCAGTGCAAAGATATTTCCAAATGTAACGTAAGGTTATTTTTGACCCACAGCCCGGCTGAATTCTGACTGCAGTGTTTCTTCAAGCAGTTCATCTTGCTGTTCTGAACCCATAACCTTCTCAGAGCAGGATAAACCCCTTCATGGTATTGTGACTCTCTTAAAGTTATTAGTTATAATCCAGAAAAACTTGAACATATTAATGGGTATCACTTGTACCACTTAATTTTCATACATTGTTAGTGAAAGATTAATTCATTGCTCTTGATGATGCAGTCCAAAACTGTAGCACTCTGTTCCTTTCTATGGCCTTCTGGCTTTTGCTGCCATGCCAGAAGTACTCTGAGAGCCTAGGCTTACAGCATGTACTTCCATCCATTGCTGGCAATGGGAAGAAAGCATTTAGACATCTGTTTGTTTCCCAGCTATGGGCCCGTGATTGGAGGGGGGTGCTTTGGATTCCTTTGGATCCCTTCACTCTTTCCCCACCTAGCAGCATACCTCTGAAATTCACATTCTCCCACTCCTCATTGGAATACTGACTTTGCAGAGAGAACAATGGCATGAACCCCTGGGGTGCTGTGTAGGAATAATAGAACTATCCTCTTAAGCAAACCTTGGTTTCCGCTTTGTTAAAATTAATAACCTCTTCATGGCTTTATTGTGTAGCTATTTATTGTCCATATACATTTCTAGGTTTACCTGAAGTGTTTGAAAGATGCTGGTGGATAAAAAGTTTTTTCCACTGTGAATCAATGCCTCAGGATGTAGGCAGGAAAACTTTATCAGCCAGTAGGTAAGACCTGCCTTAAAATTCCTTTGGTTTAGAGGAATTTCATGTTAATATGATTGCTTTATAGTAAAACAAAGATTGCACTGATTATTCTGATGCTAAGTTTAACCGTGTTTTAACACACAATGGGTTGGATCTAGAATAGCATTGAGCACAGTTATTCATGCTGGAGGAATGGTATGATGACAATCTTTTGATTCCTCCTTTCTCATATGCCTTAGGAAAACATGATCTGGTAGGGTCAGCACCCCTCCTGAGTAGCATGAAAAGGCAATTCAGGGGAAAGGAATAGGCAAAGATTATTTCTGTGCGCCTTTTTCTTGGTGGGGAACATCTGCTGAATCATAGTAACTCTTCTAAGCATGCATAATGAATTTGGATCCAGCTCCATAGGCTGGGAATAATACCTGTTGAAGTCAGTAGGACTGACTTTGAACTACATACACAGATTTTCTGGGAATTACACCCATATCATGCTTGTAATGGACATCCTGGAACTCCAGTTGCTGCTTCCACTATTACTTAGTTTGCAACCATTTACTGTTGCACCAAATTGCTGTTCAGGTACCGCCAGCATTGCTGTAGGATAATAGCTCTGAGAACTTCATTTTGCAGATTTTCTGTGTGTACCATGGTATTATCAGTTTGCAAAAACAAATTTGTTCTATACTGTGTCAAAGCAGTATTACAAATAACATTTAAAAACACAGTAAGATTAACATTCATTTTCAGTTACTATGCTATTTAATAACAAGAAGAATTAACTACTTTCAGTAAAGTTTTTAGGTCCACTAACACCTCTTTATTGGTTGAGGAATATTTTCCTCAACTGGTCTGCAACTATATGTTGTCTTGCAATTTTGGGGGAAAAAAAAGGGGGGGGGGGAGAATTCCAGACAATAATCTATGTTGTCAAACTGCAAAATGAAGTTAAAGATTCAAGAATTTGGAAATCATATATTACTTTAGATTAATTTGTTGTATTTGTTATAAAAACTTGCCTGCAATTGATCTTTTAAAAATTCTTGATTTTTAAAAAATTTCTTGACAGTGCTAACAGCTGACCTGGATATTAATATGAGTGTTCTACAGTGGCACTGGACAAAGACTCATTTCTTTTGTGAAGAAAGACTGCTTGCAACTTCAGTGGCAAGAGAAATGCAGTTTTCCAAATGCAATTTTTTTCTCTCATAGCTTATTTGTAAGGCAATCAGCAATTCAACTTTCCTTGTATGTTACAGAGTTCTTGATAGCAAACAGGTATTCTACATTTCATCATAACTCTTGTATATCATTGGAAGAACTGTGAATGAAAAGTCTTGCTGTAATGGAGGGGATGCTAATTAACCAGTGTTTTCCTTTGCTAAATTAAAAAAAAAAAACTACTGTTGACTGTCTGGGACAAAAGCTTTATGCTGCTGTAACATTAAGTACAATGGTTCATTCTTTAGCAGTAAAATAAACCCATTTTCCCATAGTTTTAAGATTTAGAAAGTTATCTTATTAGCTTCATACCTGTAATTAAACTAAATCTGTTCATAGTTGTTTTTAAATTATTTTAAAATTCTAAATAGATATGTATAGACTATCTGCCAAAGTTTGGAAGGAACCTTGCTAAAGTTTTATATATGTAAGACTCCAATGAAGAAAGAATTGTATGTAAGCCCCAGTCTTCAACATATTTCAGGGAAGTGGATTCAATTGATTTCACTGGAACTTTCTTCCACATGGCTGTAATTTGCACCAGTATTGACAGCAGATATGTGGAATGCAATTTATACATCTTGCATTTTATACTGAAGGTAATTTCAGAGGTCTGTGCAAATGTACTTGATTTTTACTTGATATTTGCTTTAAAAGCAGAAAAGAACAGGACTTGTTCTCTCTCTCTGACTTGTCTACTTAGTGGATGAAGAACTTCCACTTCCAATTTTAACTCTAAAGAATTAAATCACAAAACAAAATATCTGGTTATTAGAAAGATCCAAGTCTTTGTAATTAATTTCATCATTTGATATTTCCTTTTCATTAGGAGGTATTACTTATACCAAGATGATTGCTCATTTACATACAGATTTGTAGTACCCTGTGTGCTCATAGTGTTTTAATAGTCTTGCTTTATCATTATGCTATTTAGCATGCCTAGAGACACACAGTATTTAAACAGAGAATCCAATGGGAGAAAATGAATGCAGGGTAAATTACAGTGGAGAAGACTTAAAGTTCGTGAAGGGAAACAAATGGTTAGTTTTGCTTTGTGGCCTTACAGTTTATTCATCAGTTTCTTTGTAAAAATTGTATAGTATTTTCAAAGTAATGTCTTAATGTACAGAATTAACTATTTTTACTACTTTTTTACTAATAAAACTTGATAAATATGCCTTCTGATTGTTTATTCCATTCTTATTGCTCATAAATATTCACAATAAATATGGATTTTCTGGGTGGGGAAATTGGATTTGGGGGCAAATTTGAGCAGAAATGCAATTGCCAGGGAATAGATGAATTACTCCTGCCTGCCCTGTGCTTCTCTACATAATTCCTCATCCTCACAGATAGTCTTTTAAAAATCTGGCTTAAGAAAACCCTTTTCCCTCCATGCATGTTTATACATTTTACAGTTTGCAGCGGAAATGTATACAGATTGGTTTGTAATTCTGAATTGCTCTCCATTTCCTTAATCAATGCAATTGGTCTGATCGGTCAAAGATCACTTGGGAATATTGCGTCACATTCCACACATGTTAAAAAGCAGTACAAACTGTGACAAAGCTTCAGACGGGTGATGGATATTCTAGATGCTGATGGGATTGCATATGATATCAGGCAATCAGAAAACCTGTCATATGGAGGGACAGTTTGATCAAAAATCAAATGTAAGGCAAGAATAAAAAGCTATGGAATAACATTAATGTACTGCTATATATTCCAGTATGGAGATCTCACAGCAGTGTACAATAAAAAGTTGCACATTTTAAAAAAAATCTGTAAAAGAGAATAAAACAATGGCTGGTTTGTTCAAGAAGTCTTCCTAAAATAAGTTTTCAAGGGATGCTGAAAACAATACAACATTGTACCTGATCTCCAAAGGGAGAGTGTGCCAAGGAAATGCAGCTGTTGCACCGAAGACTCTTCCCTAGGTGAACTCTAATCAGGCCATCAGTCCAGACACCTGTGTGAAACCACCCTGATCAAACTTTCTGATGACTTCTGTGACTCCAGATTGGTAACAGAAGGTGCTCTTGTGAGTATCCTGACATCAAGTTGTTTAGGGCTGAATACAATAGTTTCAAAGTAGGAAGGAAGTACAAATGTGAAGAAAGAATAAAGGACTATGGAGCAATATATGCATGAAGCTTGTACTCTTTCTTAAAGATGCCACCTTGCTTTGTGCCTTCACAGTTTTCTGTTCGTTTGCTCCATGCTGAAGGGCATCTTCAGGGCCTCTGGTCTCCTTCCTTATCTTTGTTTCGCCCAGAGTTAGCCCTCCAAACAGAGAGTGTTTTCAAACACAAGTCCCCTCTGTAATGCAGGATGCATATCCACTCCAGCTACATCAATGCTATTCTAAATTTATGTACATTTACTTATTTCATTTTTATACTGCTCAACAGCTGAGCCTCTTGGCTCTTAAATAATCAGTTCAAAGGAATGCATTAGATTGATTAAGGTATTCTTAAAATAGGTGAAGTCCTGGGCATTCATTTGACTAAAAAAAGCCAGAAAATCATTTATTGATGTTTGGAAAGGCCTACAGTCCGGTATATATTACTGGCTAGCCTGCAACTAAAGTTTGGAATGAAGTATTGCTTGTCACAGTCTGAGAAAGGTTAAGGGCTTTTTTCCAATTCAGAAGGCTTGCAGCAGAAGGTCTGGGCAGCTAATTTTGTAACACCTATGCCCTGTGTCAAGATATCGTATTTGAACTGCGTGCACTTCAGTCATGGAGATAAGATCCAATTACTGGACTGGGTCCTCAGTGACTTCTGTGCTATTTGGGTATTTGTTTCTTTTCCAAACTAGCATTCCATTTTATGATATTCCATACCTACTACCTAGGCAGCTTCAACAGTTCTGAAGGTCTGGTGGGTAATTTGAGAACGGACACTGTAACTTAGTCTAACATGTCTTACAGGGATACTGCAAAGAAATGAAAAAAAGGAGCAACCTTAAGTATACCATTTTTACCATTTAAATACTATTAAATAGAACATTAACACTAAATACTAAGTAGATTTTATTTATTTATTTATTAAAACATTTTTATGCCGCCCCATTCGCCGAAGCCTCGGGGTGGCTTACAACAATAAGTTAGAACATCATAAATAACCTTTTAAAATATATACATTAAAATAAAATACAGATATACAATATAAAATAAGCTGTCCTGGCCAGATAAAATTCAAAATATTAACATTTAAAATGCTGCTTAAATAAAAAGGTCTTCACCTGGCGCCGAAAAACAA